CTATCGTTCGAACTAATAGTACGCGTGTTTTATTTATTGTTTATTGTAAATGCGTAACTCGAGAAGACCCGGTACTCTAAGCGCGTTTCTACGCGCGAGGTGATATGCACAGGTTATGCACGTGCGTTTTCATAACCTCGTGCGAACGAAGAAACGTGCTTGGCAAGGTGCATCATCGCCATGCGTGTGTCAATGCGAAACGAATCAAATCAAGTCACTGCGTCGCTAATGCTCGATCGGTCATGTCGGGCCTGTTTTTGGCTCGGCTTTAGGAGAGGTATATATGGAATTCGAAATAATCTCTCTTAGCTTGTAGATGACAATCAGCTTGAAATATAGCTCTATAGAGGGCTTTCCTAAATGAAAATTTCGACATTTGGATGTGATCCGGAACTTTTTCGAAAATCCTCGAGCCTGAGAGAAGGTGAGTTTTGAAGAGGCTCTTGTAAAAAAAATATATAAGATATGTAAGAAAAGAGAGTTGAAAAAAGCTGAAGTTTGTCTGTTTGAGGGTGGTACAGAAACATTACGGAGAGAAGCGGTAGTAATGCTACAGCCTGAACAAAATCAGTTGAACTTTCAAAGCCATCGAAGGGAACCCCCCGTCATTTAGCCATTACGTAACTCGACTCAGGAAACCTAACCTGCAAATGTCTATTCGAATTCTAATCGTACTATTACCTGAAAAAGCCGCGGAGACGCGTTAAAAAAACAAAGCTGCAAAAAAGGGAAAAGACGATATAAGAGAGTAAAGAAATTATTTAAAAAGAATTATTTTGTAAAATCGAACGCGCCGAGATGAAAGCTTGGATGAAATTGAAGCTTTGTGTAAAGAAAGTTAGTACGGTAAAAGTTTATGCTAGTAGCGTAGCTAGTAGTAAATTAAGATATTTAACGTAATTATATATTAAGGATGATGTATTGGAATAAAATTACAATTGGTATATAGAGAAAGAGAAGTAGGTTATATCAGAGTTATATTCATTTTTAAATAGCCTTATTGCGATTGGCTTGAAGGAGTATCTTAGAGATGCAATTGATATTGTTCAGACTATGGCCACGGGCACTTTGTGCGCTGTTCTGCGAGACAAACACGGAAGAAAACGTCTTTCACGATCGATTGAGAAACAAAAGGCAGTGAATTTCGGACAAGAAGAAACATATTCAGTGCCAGGTGACTGTCTATATTATTTCAAGCGATACGTCGATATCGAAGACTGGATCGATCCGCGATTCTGACAACTACTGGCGGTAAACAGTTTAAAAAAATGTGATATAAGATATATTTCAGTATAAATTATTAGTATTACAAATCGGGTTTAGCGAACAAAAAAAAAAAAAAAAAAAA